TGACACTCCCCCACCACCACCACCCCCAGGCCATGGAAAAATTGCCTTCCATGAAACCGGTTCCTGGTACCAAAAAGGACAGGGACTGCTGCCTCAGGGAACCCAGCTGCACTTCTTCCCTGCAGTTTCCAAGATATATATTTGATCCCTGCCTCTTTGTGATATCCTTTTCTAGAACTACCTTGAGTGGATTGACAGTGGTATATTTTTTTTTTTAACGAAATTACCTAATTAAGACAGATAAGCTCCTGAAAAATTGTACACAGGATTTTTAAAAAGCTTCCCAGGTTGATTCTAATGAACAGTCAAGGTTGAGAACCACTACCTAAAGTATGACAGGGGAAAGACAGCCAGCCTTATAATATGAAGCAAACAAATATTTTATTTCATTAACTAGTATGATTACCTAGTATTAAAGTACATCATGAAAATATTTAAAAAATTACTACACATATTTGCTCTCTGAATTATCAAATATCTCTCTTGATTCACAAACACCTACTTTATTATCTTTATTCCTAGCTATTCCTTGTATTTGAGAGTTTTTTTAGTATAGTGAGAATTTTGGAGGCACTGGTATCCTACTACTATATGAATTTAGTAAATATAAGAAAAGTACTTTAAAAATTAACATTTGTGAAAAAAGCCTCATAATTACTGCTCAAAAAACAAACAAGTAACAATAAAAAACATGTGCAAGGAGACAGAGACAAGTGAGCTGGGCACTAGCCCTGCAGTCTCCCTGACTATGCTGATGTGGGCTTTGCTGATGCTGAATTCAGGTCAAGAGCCACAGAGCACAATGCCTGTGATACAGCAGACCCTTAAGGGAAAAGAAAGACTATCAGTGAGAGCTCTTTCAGAATGACAACACAAACAAGTGGTGCCACAATAAGAACTGGGTTTCTTTCTCAACTCCAGAAGAACCTATCCACACAGAGATAAATGGCAGCAGCACACACTGATGGGACCAAGGAACAAGTCATAAAAAGATGATATATCTGCTCCTTCTCTGGGTAGCCAGTTCATCTGCAATAGTTTCTGTATCCTTCACTAAATAAATCAGGAACAGAAAACAGTTGTGTGAGTTTTTGTCCTTTTATAACCCTTGTACCACAGCTGATGTCAAAAATAGGAATACTGCAAAAACCCCAAGGCCACCACACCAGGGTTAGTATCAGGAAGGCCAAGAGAGGGAACAGTGAACTGAACATGTTCAAAGACAACCTAAGTAGCAAGAAGTCTGAGACCTCGGGTCACCAAGAGAAGTTTTCATGTGAAGAGATATATTAGGAGAATTCATTCACTGTCTCTGTGCCACTGCAAAGGACTGGTGGATACCCACAAGGGCTGGCCCCCAGGCAAAGTGTCTCAGGCACAGTTCTCAGGCTTCTCCTAACCATGCTAGGTAAGCATCTGTAAGGAGGGCTGAAACACCCCAAGCCAGGAAACCCACAGCCCACAGCCCAGGTGTAACAAATGGAGAGTATAATGTTTGAGATGAGGGAAAGGAATGAGAGTCCTTAGGACTACCTCGAACTTCTGCCAGATTGCCAGTCATCCTAAAGTAGGATGGCTGCATAGATTTTACATGTGGAACAGAATAAGAATAAAACTGAAAATCTCAATGAGCTGATTCTGTGAAAAAGTGATGACAGAATCAGAGACTATAAAATAAGGCAAATTTTATAGATACTGAATGTTTTAAATGAGGGAGAGGATGATAAGCAGACTAGTAAAGGATTTGGAAAATCTCTGCTTTTAGCTACTTTTTTAGTAAAGGTCAGTAAAAAGGAGACTGAGCTCACGTTAGAATTTTTAACCTGTTATTAACCATTTTAAAACATATTAATGTTCCCCTCTATAGGCAGCCATGTCCTTAAAACTCAGTGATCTGTGTTAGTCTTTTTTAAAAAAAAAGCAAAACAAAAAAACAGTATTCAGAGGATAGGTCTCCGAAAGAAGTTTCTACTTTGGTCTAAATACTTCTCAAATGCAAGAAAATAAAAAGTATTTAACTGAGACAGAAAACATTTAATGGTACACAAAGAATAATTTCTTTCTGAAGCTTATATTTGAAAGATCCATGTGTTATCTGGCCAAGTAGACTAGGTGATTGTTTGGACAACAAAGAAACGAATAGTTAAGTATAATGAATTGAAATATAGTTGAGACCATTATCTTAAAAGAGTTAAAACAACTAATTTTTTACTTTAGAGATAATTTTCTTTGGGGGTGGGAAGAAAACCTTGCTGGGCTGGGGCCCAAACAAGTGGAGACAGAAACTCTGCTGGAGAATTGTTATCAAATAGTTCTTTTCCCAGGCCATAGAGCGTGGGAAATGATTTCCTGTGTATCTTTTCCCCTTCTCCTGAGGCAATTTGGAATCTTGGCTTAAGGGTAAGATTCCTAAGGCTTCTGCACAATGAATAAGAAGCCTGTAGGCCTGATTCGTATTCTATCCTTATTCTATTTTTTAGTAATAAAATAGGGAGAAGTTAAATGGATAAAACACTGAGCAGAGGGAAAGTCTATTACACGAGAAAAAAGATATCAGTGTCAATTACAAAAGTTTCAAAAGTTCTGAGCACTGGGTGTATAACAGAATGAGCAGTGGGAAAAGCCTCACACTGGGAGATGTATGACAGAGTTTGGGACATTCAGCTGGTATGAAAAACAAGGACCCTTTCAGAAGTATCTGGGGCAGGATGAAAAATAAAGAGATAAGCCTAAAGAGAGAGCTGCTAGTGGGCAAAAGGCAATGAGTCCTAGATGATGCAAAGTGGATGACTAATATCAAATCAAATACTCAATACCTTTCACAATAGCCACAAAGAAAATAAAATACCTAGGAATATATTTAACCAAGGAGGACAAAGATCTCTACAAAGAGAAGTACGAATCACTGAGGAAGGAAATTGCAGATGATGTAAACAAATGGGAAAACATACCATGCTCATGGATTGGCAGAATCAATATTGTAAAAATGTCTATACTACCCAAAGTGATTTACAGATTCAATGCAATCCCCATCAAAATACCAAAGTCATTTTTGGAAGATCTAGAAAAAATAATTCTACACTTCATTTGAAACCAGAAAAGAGCCCGAATAGCCAAAGCAAACTTAAGCAAAAGGAACAAATCTGGAGACATCACTTTACCACACTTTACACTATGCTACAAGGTTATAGTAACCAAAATAGCATGGTACTGGCACAAAAATAGAGACATAGACCAGTGGAACAGACCAGAGAACTAAGATATAAAACTATTCACACACTGCCATCTGATCTTTGACAAAGTAGACAGCAATATACACTGGAGAAAAGAATCCCTACTCAATAAATGATGCTGGGAAAACTGGACAGCCACATGCAGAAGATTGAAATAGGATCCATATCTCTCACCACTCACAAAAATTATTTCAGGATGGGTAACAGACTTAAATCTAACACACGAAACCTTAAGAATTATAGAAGAAAATGTTGGAAAAACTCTTTGAGGTATCAGCCTAGACAAAGAATTTATGAAGAAGACCCCAAGGGCAATCACAGCAATGACAAAAGTAAATAAATGGGACTTGATTAAATTTAAGAAGCTTCTACACAGCCAAGGAAACAATCAACAGAACGAACAGACAATCTACAGAATGGGAGAAAATATTTGGATGCTATACATCCAATAAAGGGACAATAACCAGAATCTACAAAGAACTCAAGCAAATCATCAAGAAAAAAATCAAACAACCCCATTAAAAAGTAGGCAAAAGATATGAACAGAAGCTTTTCAAAATAAGATAGACTAATGGCCAATAAACATATGAAAAAATGCTCAATGTCACTAATCATCAGAGAAATGCAAATCGAAACCACAATGAAATATTACCTAACCCCAGTAAGAATGGCATTTATCAAAAAGTCCCAAAACAACAGATGCTGGTGTGGATGAGGAAAGAAAGGAATACTCATATACTCTTGGTGAGACTGCGAACTAGTGCAACCTCTATGGAAAATAGTATGGAGATTCCACAAAGAACTAAAAGTAGACCTGCCATTTGATCCAGCAATCCCACTACTGGGTATTTACTCAAAGGAAAAAAGTCATTTTATCAAAAAGACACTTGCATTAGAATGTTTACTACAACACAATTCACAATTGCAACAATATGGAATCAACCCAAGTGCCTGTCAATTCATGAGTGAATTAATAAAATGTAGTGTATGTATACCATGAAGTACTACCCAGCCATAAAAAAAATTAATACCTTTTCCAACAATCTGGATGGAACTGGAGACCATCCTCCTAAGTGAAGTATCACAAGAATGGAAAAACAAACACCACATGTACTCACTGCTAAATTGGAACTAACTGATCAGAACTCATGTGCACAGACGGAAGTAAAACTCAATGGAAATCATGCGAGTGGGAGCGGGGAGAAAGGAATAGGTGAAATCATATCTAACGGGTACAATGAACACTATCTGGGTGATGGGGACACTTACAACTTTGACTCAAGCAGTACAAAAGCAATCCATGTAACCAAAACATTTGTACCTCTGTAATATTCTGAAATTTTTAAAAAATACTCTTGACCTCAAGCTACTACATTTTGTGTACTGCCAATAAAGAAAATTTCCTTCAAAAACAATATATAGCTAGATGAAGGCAACCTATGACAATCTGATGCAAAGAAATATAAATATAAAGCTAAAAAGTAGTGATATGACCATTCACCAAGGATTCAGAGGGACCACAAATAAACTTGTGATTGTGGTGCTCAAATCAAACTCAACCCACCTGAGTAAAGAGTCAGAAATTTTTGGAATTCTTGGCTGAAAACAGAAATTTTGTGCAGGGACACCTTGGCTGTTAACTGATTTTGATCTCTCCCCTGTCATATCAACATGGACTTCCTGATGCTGGGTTTGGGTCAAGAGTCAGGATTATGCAATGTCTCTAAATACTTCTTTAAACAGAGAACATCACTGCCATTTATTACAGAAAGGTAACAGAAGCATGAGTGTAGGTGGCCAGGTACATGGCAGTAAGTTACACAAGCTACCTGTTTTGAGAGGAAAACAGTCAACAGTGGGCCATGCTGGCAACAAGGGGCAACAGAAAGGAAAGAAAAGATATGGTATCTCTGCTTCTATTCTGGAAGGTACTTTATTTCCAGTAATGTCTACATAAATTGGGAATCTAAAGTAGCTGCTACTTACTAAAGAATTGAAAATAGATCGTAGAAAGCAAATACTTACCTCTGTCCATCTTTCACAAAACCTTTTAAAGAAGATCCTCTATTAGTAGCAATTGCTTTTCCACCAAGACCAACTATGAGAGCCGTCAGTACTGCACTCTTCCCACCTAAATAAACAGATGTTGAAGAAATCACATTCATTAAAGAAAAAAGAAAAAGTTGACTCCTAGAATTTGATGCAAAAAGGTTTCTGAATGAATTACTCTCATCCTAAAATAAAATGTTATAATTCAATTATAATTTTCTTCCAGCACCAAAGCAGAAACTTTAAAAAAAAGTTGTATATGTCATGAGATATTTAGCTGCCACTATTAGAAAAAAATTAGTACATTTCAGGAGTCAAATTTTTGCCACTAACAAGGAAATGGAAAAAACGGTTGGGATACTTTTCCAACCTGAAACTCCCATTGCATCACCATGGCTCGACAGTCTAAGAAATTAACTTACTATTTATACTATATAAGTACATACTGATTTTTATTACATTCTAATTTAATTACAGTTACTGTTTACTTTTTTCATAAATTTTCAGACATCAAAAACTGTTTTTAACATCCCTCGAATATAAGTTCCACATGGATAGGAATGTTGTCTCTTTCATTCAATGCTATATCCCCAATATCAGCACATAATAGGTACTTACAAATATTGTTTGAATGAATGAATGAAGTTAAATAAGAAAAAATCAGCAAAGTCACAAGATATTTTTATGTAACATTTTGACATTTACTGTTTTTATCTGAATAGTAATTAACTTTCTAGCCTTTAGAAAAGTGTACTTCTCATGACATATAACAAATATAAAATATGATAAGCTGAAATTTCAAAATCTCTAACAATTACCCAGAATATGGTAATCATTTTCTGAACTTCATGATCAACCAATCCAATCAACTCTTATCAGCCCATTATCTTCCATAATATACCCCAAAGTAAGCAAAATACACCATTGATTAACCCAATTTAGTTCCTAGAATGCTTTTTAAGTTTCTAACTTCCTTTTCTTCATTACCAAATGCCCTGCCTCCACTATTTGCATTATTTTCCATTCTATTAAGTTTTGTTAATAAAATCAGTGTTTCAAAAAATTTTTTAAAAAGACCTAACTTCAGAACCCCCTAGTATTTCTTTGCTGCTTCTCCCATGTGACCCCTCTGAAGCACTGATCCCTTTATCTGTTCATCCTCTCCTAAAAACATTTTCTTCTTAACTGAATGATAGAGTAGGAAAAATAGAGAACAAAACAGACTGTGGAGCTACACACACCTAGCTTCCTACTCTAGCACTGTCACGTGTTGGTAGACTCTGGCAAGTCTCCTTTCCCTGGGTCCATCTCAGGCCAGCAGTCAATCTCTCATGCCTGGCTGGCCTATCACAGAACTGCCTCACGTATTTTCCCCCTTCTAACCTATCTTTCACAGTGTGGCTGGTTTGTTTCATTCCCTTACTCAAAAACTAACTGGGTCCCCACTGACTTCTTAATAAAACTCCAAAATCTTTATCATGATTTACAAGATCCTCAATGATATCACCTACAGCATGACTCTCCAAAGTCAGCTTCTGCCCCTCCCCACTGTGCACCATACGATAAAACATGTAAGGTTATTCACCATGCCCCATACACATCTACTTCTACTCCTTCAAACCTTTGCAGATGAGTAATTTTTGCCCGGAACATCTCAGCTTCTTCTTACCCAGTGAGACCTAAAGAATCTATAATTTTCATTCAAGTAATGGCACAAATATTTCCTCCTCTTAAAGCTTTCATTGGCCATAACAGTGAGAATTAGTTACTTTCATGTTTGGATTGCCAAGGCACTTCATTCGTGCTCTGTAATGATTTTTAGTCAAGATAAGAAACAGGGCCGCCTCAATCACAGTGAGGATTGCTTGTCTCCCCTTCTATGCTATGGATTCCAAGGTAAATGAATGAAAAACATAAGCAGGAAATGTTTATCCCTACCACTTAAATAAAAACCTAGAGTTAACTCAGTATTTTCTTAAAGTGTACACTGGCAGCAAATACTGAATATATTTTGTGAATATATTTATGAATATATTCATAAAATATATTCTGATATATATTCATAATCACAAGTCATAGATCTATAAACCAAATACTTATCAACACTAGTAGTCACCTATTTCAAAAAATTAATGTATTCTAATCTCAGAGTACTGCTCCAAGTCAAATGAGGAGGGCAAAAGCACTTACTTCCATTGTTGCCAACAACAAAGTTGACGTTAGAACCAAATTTAAAGGGTCCAAGCATCGAATGACACATGAAGTTTTTTAGCTGAATACTCTCAATTATTCCAACTTCTGCCGCAGTCTATTAATAAGAAACAATGGAAGAAAACAGTCAATCTGTCTAATTCACTCATTATAATTATCCAAGCATTGCTGGCGGGAGAAAGACTAGCAGTACTACCAATGAAAAAAGTTACAGAACGTGAATAATGGCAACTTCAAAATGGGAAACTTATGAGTCAGCACTCACTCTAGAATCTTTAAAGATCTAATAAATGTATCACAAGGTTTCTTAATATTGACAGTACTGGCATTTTGGGTCTGATAATTTTTCGTTGGTGGGGGATCTGTCCTGTGCATTGCAGAATGTTTAGCAGCAGCCCCAGCCTCTACCCATTAGACCCCAATAGTACACACCTGTTCCAGTTGTGACAACTGAAAACAGATCCAAACATTGCTAAATGTCCCCAGGGGGTGGAAGAAGACTCCCCCTGGTTGAGAACTGCTATCTCAACTATTATAGTAAAACTTCCTGTAAAATACAGAACTAAATTTAGAACATCCCTGAAAGATGATTATCCAGCCACAGTTTGAACGCTGAATTCACTATCTGACATTCAGAATTTCAATTCAAAGAGCAGAGTACACATTTTAAAAGGTAAAGCCTGCTCTTCTTGTGACTTTCTGTGTCTGTCATTTATTATGACAGCTGTGTATAAAGAATATACAGCTTCCAAATCTGTAAAACAGGAATAATTCCTATCCTGTAAATATATGTCAGCATTAAATTAGAGAAAGCTTATAAATGGTTTAACCAAGAATTTGGCACACAGTATTCACTTGCACGGTGTGGTTATCTAAGTACCAATACAAATCAGCCTTATTTTTATCAGAATAAATTTCAATTTTTTTGAAGGCCACTTTCATGTCTCTAGCTATTTTAATGGTTTCTTTAAAAACTCCCCGGCTCTCTTCTTCTAGACTTACATCTTATTAAAAAGCAGAAGACATTTACATCCTTATATGAGGAGAATACTGGAAATCATGGCTGAAGAATTTTTAAATACATTTTTATTTTGAGATCATTACAGATTCACATGCAGTTGTTAAGAAATATCTTGCATACATGCACTATATGAACAAGAGTACAAAATCACAACCAAGATACTGATATTGATACAGTCAAAATACAGAGTATTTCCGTTATCAAAGGATCCCTCACATTACCTCTTGATAACCACATCTGCATCCCACCTCAACCCCTCCTTAACCCGTGACTGTAACCTTGTCATTTCAAGAATGTTAAATAAATGGAAACAGACAAAATGTAACCTTTGGGGATTAGTTTTTTTTCACTCAGCCTAATTCTCTGTTTTTGCCTATCTCAGTAGTTCACTCCTCTTTATTGTTAAGCTGTATTTCATGACATAGATGTAATCACGGTATAGTCACTCATCGAACGACATCTGCGTCGTTTCTAGTTTCAGGCTCTCACAAATAAAGCTGCATTATAAACATTATGTACTAATTTTTGTGAGAAGATAAATCTTTTCTTCTGAGGGACAAAGACTGGGTTATGTGGTAAATGCATGTTAAGCTTTTTAAAGAAACTGACAAACTGTTTTTTCCAGAGTGATCATCATTTCACATTCCTACCGGCAATGTGTGAGTGATTCAGTTTCTCTACATCCTTGCCAGCATTTGGTGTTGTCACTAATTTTTACTTCAGCAATTCTGATGGGTATGTAGTGGTATCTCATTGTAGTCTTAATTTGTATTTCCCTTATGATGGATGATGTTGAACATCATTTCATGTGCCTATCTGCCATCTTATATCCTCTTTTTCTGTGAAATGTCTGTCTTCTGCCCATTCTCAAATTGGTTTGTTTGTTTTTTAACTGTTGAGTTTTAAGAGTTCTTTATATGTTTGATACTAGTATTTTATTGGATATGTGTTTTATAACTATTTTTCCTTAGTTTGTAGCTTGATTTTTCATCCCTTAACAGGGTCTTCTGAGAGCAAAAGTTTTTAAATGTGATGAGGTCCAATTTATCAGTTTTTCATTTTATGGCTCATGCATTTGGTGTCAAATCTAAGAACTCTGCCAAATCCTATACTCCAAAGATTTCTCTTATGTTTGTCTCTTAAAGTTTTATTGTTTTATGTTTACATTTAAATCCATTACTCAACTTTGAGTTAATTTTTGTATAAAATATCAGACTTAGGTCAAGATTCATTTTTTTGTCTATCAATCTACAACTGCTACAGCCTCATTGGTTGAAAAGGCTACCTTCTCCTTCATTCAATTGCTTTTGCACCTTTGTAGGATAAATTCATTATGTTTTGTGTGGGTCTATTTCTCTATTCAGAAGAGATTCTGTTCTGTTCCAGTGATCTATGTGTCTTTCTCTAGACTAATACAACATAATCTTGATCACTGTAGCCATATGTCTTGAAATTGAATAATTAATTCTTCCCACTTCATTCTTTTTTCACAATTGTTTTAGCTATTCTAGTTTCTCTGCCTTTTCTAATAAATTTTAGAATAAATTTGTCTGTATCTACAAAAAATCTTGATGGAATTTTGATAGAATGGTATTAAACTTGTATGCCATTTTGGGAGACAACTGACATCATTTCTATGTTAAGTCTTCTGATCCATGAATAAGTATGTCTCTCCATTTCTTTAGGTCTTCTTTGATTCCTTTAATCAGAACTGTATACTTTTCAGCATACAAGTCCTATACATATTTTTAGATTCAGACCTAAGTATTTCATTTCTTTTAAAGATAATTTTTAAGAGGAGTTTTAGGTTTATAGCAAAATTGAGAGGAAGATACAGAGATATCCTGTACACCCTATACCCCACAATGCACAGCTTCCCCCATTATCAATATCCCCCATTAGAATGGTACATTTGTTACAGCTGATAAACCTATACTGACACCATTAGAGTACTGTACGGAGTATTTTTATTGCCCTAAAAATCCTCTGTGTTCTGCATCAACCCTCCCATCTCTCAACCCCTGGCACCACTGATCTTTTAACTGTCTCCATAGTTTTGCTTTTTTCAGAATGCCATATAGTTGGAATCATACAGCATGTAGCCTTTTCAGACTGACTTCTTTCACTCAGTAATATACATTTAAAGTTCCTTATAGCTTGAGAGCTTATTTCTTTTAAGGGCTCAGTAATCTTCCATTGTCTGAATGTACCACAGGTTATTTATCCATTCATCTACTAAAGGACATTGTGGTTGCTTCCAAGTTTTGGCGATTATGAATAAAGCTGCTATCAATATCCGTATGCAGGTTTTTGTGTGAAAATAATTCCTTTTGGTAAAACTGAGGAGTATGATTGCTGAATTGTATGGCAAGAATATGTTTAGATTTGTAAGAAACTGTCAATCTGCCTTCCAAAGTAGCTGTATTATGTTGCATTCCCGCCAGCAATGAATGAGAATTTCTGTTGCTCCATATCCTTGCCAGCATTTGGTGTTGTCAGTGGTCTAGATTGTCTCCATTCTAACAGGTGTGTAACAGTATCTCAATGTTGTTTTAATTTGCATTTCCTTGAAGTATTTCTTTGTTTCTTAGTGATTGCAAATGATACTGTATTTTGAATTTCAATGCCCACGTGTTCAATATCAGCATATAAAAATACAATATTTTTAAAATATTTATCTTGTATACCATAACCTTGTTGAATGCATTTATTAGCTTTAGGAGTTTTTTGTAGATTTCTTAAGATTTTCTATGTAGATAATCAGGTCATCTGCAAATAGGGGCAGTTTTATTTTTTTTCTTTTCTAACCTCTATAACTTCTGTTTCTTTCTCCTGCTTTATTTGCACTGGCTAGATCTCCTAGCACTATGCTGAACAAGACTAATGAAAGCAGATACCCCTGCCTTGTTCCTCATCTCAGGGGAAAAGTATTCAAAGTTGCACCATTAAGTATAATGTTAGCTGTAGGTTTTTCTGTCAATGCTCCCCATCACATTGAGGAAGTTCTGCTCCATTTCTATTTTTCTGAGAGTTTAATCATGAATAAGTGTTGAATTTTGTCAAATACTTTTGCTGCATTGAGTGATATGATCATGTTATTTTTCTTCTTTCGCCTGTAGTATGGTGAATCACAATTGATTTTCAGATAGTGAACCAGGCTAACATGCCTAGAATAAACCCACTGATCATAATTCTTTTCATATACAATTGTCCCTTCATATTTGCAGGTTCCGTAGGTGTAGAAACAAAGGGACAACTGTAAGGGACTTGAGCACCAGCGGATTTTGGTATGGGGGAAGGTACTGGAACTAGCTCCCCTTGGATACTAAGGGACAACTGTATTGCTGAATTGTATTTGCTAATATTTTGTTGAGTATTTCTGTGTCTATATCCACATAGTATATTGGTATGCAGTTTGCTTTTTTGGTCCCTCTTTGCCTGGTTTTGGTATCAAGATAATGGAATTGAAAAGTGTTCCCTCCTTTTCTGTTTTCTGGAAAAGACTGTGTAGAATTCATGTTCATTCTTTTTTTGAGACAGAGTCTTCTTCTGTTGCCCAGGCTAGAGTGCCATGGCATTAGCTAGCTCAAACCTCAAACTCCTGGGCTCAAGCAATTCTCCTGCCTCAGCCTCCCAAGTAGCCGGGACTACAGGCATGCACCATCATGCCTGGCTAATTTTTTCTATATATTTTTAGTTGTCCAGCTAATTTCTTTCTATTTTTAGTGGAGACGGGTGTCTCTCTTTTGCTCAGGCTGGTCTCGAAATCCTGAGCTCAAAGGATTCACCCGTCTCGGCCTCCCAGAGTGCTAGGATTACAGGCGTGAGCCACCGCGCCTGGCCAGAATTCATATTAATTCTTCTTTAAAAAGTTTGGTACAATTCTCCAGTGAAACCAACTTGGCCTGGAGATTTTTTTTTAGGAGTTTTAAAACATGAATTAAACTTCCTTAATAGTAACAGAACTACTCAAATGAGCTATTTCATGTTGGGTGAGTTATGGTAATTTTTGCTTTTTGAGGAATCGGTACATTTCACCTAACTTGTCAATTTTATGTGTGTAAAGCTGTTAACTGTATTTCCTTACCCTATTGATGTCTGCAGGGTCTGTGGACGGCCCCTATTTCATTTCTGACATGGGTAATTTGTGTCTTTTCTCTTTTTTCTCCTTTTTTGGACTCACTAGAGGTTTTTCAATTTTATTCATCTTTCCGAAGACCCAGTTCTTTGTTTCATCATTTTCTCTATTAATTTTTCTTATAATTAACATAAGCTTCAAAATTAGCCAGAATAGGTTATTTTACCTTGGCTTTTAAAAAATCATACTGCTTTTTCCTGATTTTTGAATTATCACAGAATATGAAATATAAACCAGACATGAGAAACATGACAATAGAAAAGTATAATTTTGTAATTTTGTACTCACCAAAGTGGAGGTGCCATTAGTGAAAGAAACTGTACATTCATCTTCATCACCATCTTTATCAAAATCCTCCAGTTCTTCTTGTCTTGGTCTTTTGGCATTTTCAGGAGAGAAGAAATTTTCTTCCTTTCTTTTGGCCATCAGGTCTGAACAAATATTTATAGTAACAATGAAGTAAATCAAGTATAGCATCTATTTGGTTGTTATTTACATTAAACTTAACAAAATAAATCACACGAAGTTTATCAAATTTTAAGTATTATGTCCATCCATTTTTACTTTAAAAAATAAAGTAAATTAGTGTTCCATCCAGATGGAGGAAGAGGACCATGAGTAGAAGAATGGTAGTTAAAGGCAAGGAAACAGATTTTCCCCTAAAGCCTCCAGAAAGAACATAGCTCTACTAACACTTGGATTTTGCCCAGTGAGACCTGTATTGGACTTCTAATCTACAGAACTGTAAGATAATAAATTTGTGCTGCTTTCAAAAAAATCATCCGCATACTCTACACTAGTTGATTTTACTTCAGAGTAAAATTGGCCAAGAGTTTATCAATTTGAGTCTACCTAAATGTTTTGACTCCTAAACTCACAAAAGGTAAAAGATTTTGTGAAACTGTGGCCTCTAGTTTCCTAAATCTATTAACAGTGATGGAGTAGTATCTCCTGAAACAATTCTACAGCAATCAACTAATTTTTACAAGTTATAAAGTAATCAGATAAAACTTCTAATTTTTAAATTATTTTCCCAAAGAAGCATATTTTAAGTCAATGTTGCCTACCACCAGTAGTTTCCTTTATTTCCTAAAAAATAGTCCATGTCAATTGTCTATTTTTTGCCAATATACCATAAAATTTAAATCTAAAAAATTAACATACTTTAAAATTACACAGAATTTTGTTAAACATATGAATACTGAACCTCCAAAGTTGATAGCCTGTGACTCAAATTAAACTTCATGACTTCTTTGATTGTGCTTTCATTTTTTTCTTTAGAATACATTTAAGACCTAAAATGATAGGTACCTAATAACTGCTTGCTGAATAAATGGAGAGAAATAACCCTGACATACATAAGTTCTAGGCTCAATGCATTTAAGTCCCCCAAATATTAGAACACAGCAGCCCTGTCTGTACCATGTACCTGGCTCCTTTCTCCCCCATAGCAACAGTAGATTGAATGAGATTTCCTCTCAAGAATTTGGACTCAAAGATTCTAGTCAGTCCTCACTGACATGATAGCTCTAGCTCATGATATGTACACAGGCCAATAAGCCCAGTCTTAAGTGTGTGTAACTTGAGAGCGTGGGGGCTAATGGAGTGGTAGTAGAGAAAGAACATGAGGTAGACATGCAGGAACAGAATAGGGACTCTGGAGAAGGAATGCAAGAGAAAAGGAGAGCAAGGGAGACGGAGACATTCACAAATAGGGTTTAATTTTTTAATCCACTGCTTTCCAAACTTATACTGACAGAACCAATTTTGTGGAAATGTCAAATACCTACACATATTTTGGAGGAATCATTTTTGGGAACTGTCTTTGTCAAGTTTTGGTATTAAATTATTTTCCCAAAGAAGCATTAAGTGAACTGAGTAGTTTGCACATCTTTTTAATGCTTTTTAATGCTCTAAAATTGCTTCGATGGCATAACATTTAAATATTTTTGGAAAGTGAGAAAGAATTAAGGTCAAACTTATTAGACAGTATAGACTATTTTAAAGTTAATTTTATAAAATCATTTCAATTTTTCTTATATATTGGTTTTTATAGGTTATATCTTCCTGAATCAAATTTCTGCAATTTTATTTCCCAAAACATTGATAATTTAAAGCCTCAAACTTACTATATAAAATTATCTTATATTTTGTAAAATCCTCATCTGTAGTCATGATTTTACACAAATTCCAATTAAGTTTGAGAACTATGTTAAACATTTTCTCCAAACTAGTTCTTTGCTTTATCAAATCCAGTTTTTCTTTCATGAGAATATTTTTATATTTATTCACATATTTTTATACAACTAAATATAGGCGGTATGCTGTAGGGTAAAGTTCAGTCTCTAATTCCTTCTCCTGAAACACAAGTTAAAAAAGAAATGAGAAACTCTGCTTCCAGGAAGATGGAATAAATACACTTTTTCCTATTATTTCTGCTAAGTGAAATAAAAAACCTTGAATATTATATATAAAACAAACATAAGAAGACTCTGAAAGGTGAAGAGAAGAAGGCAGACCCAAGGAATAACACAGTAGTTAAGTTCCTTGAGTTTTCCTTTTTTCTCAAATACCCCAGACTTGGAGAAGCCAACAAGTGGGAAACACCAACAAACAGGTGGGGAGAAAAAAGCCCCAAGGAAAGCTTGCTCTCTCTAGCCAAAAGGCCAGGAAAAGGGTAGCCTAATAAGACGAAAAAGTTTTAGACAATAACTGCTTTACTCCCACCAACCACTGAAAAAACTGGCTCCTCCCCAAACTATGCAAGCAAAGGCAAGTGGGTAGCCTGGACTTCCACCCTGGTAAGGCTGTAAGGTGGCATCTCAACACCCCATTTGGTGTAGTGTCAGAGAAGGCTAACTAGGCCAAGTAGGGGGCCATGATAATGGTGTCAGTGGGGACCACCTAAAGAGACTAGACTTCCACCCTACCAAGAAGTAATAGGGTGCTACCTACTCTTCCTCCTTGGCTGGTGTCAAAGGAGGCCTAGCGGAAAATCAGGACTTTTACTGTTGCCCAGAGGTGAGAAGACCACTCTCACTGCAGTGGCATTGGAGACCATGTGGGGAAGAGAAACTATCGCTCCAGCCCAGTAGTCATTGTAACTAAGGAAACAGCTCTGATTAAGTTCTAGGTCTGAGTCTTTGTGTCCATGGCCCAGTATGCACGGGGGCAGCTCTCAAAGGTTGTGATCTCTTAAAAAGTACTAAGGACCTCAAAGAGTTTTTGCTTCTATCTATTGATATTTACCATATTAGAAACTGAAGCTAAGAAACTTTTAAAACAAAGAACACAGGAGTACACATTCCATCAGTCAGAGCAATGACATCTTGCAAGTCATATAACCTCTGGAAAACTCCACTGTACATTCTTAAGAGAACAACAGCAAAAAAGACAAATAACATCTTATGATGATTATGATTATTTATGAAAACAAATTCTGGCCTTGTAGACCCCTTGCAAGAATCTCATGGATTCCTGGACAACACTTTACAAACTACTGCTACAGGGGATACTCTAAGCAAGTCCATGATACTGTGCCATAAATTATAAGGCACAGTCAGCAAGCAATAAAGTTAGAGCAGTGGGAAAAGAATGGACCACAGATGGACTTGTAGAATCCTCACATTCAAAGCGTGGTCTAAGGACCAGCAAGCAGCATCTATGTCTTCCCGGAACTTACTAGATATTCAGAACCTCAGGCCCCACCCTAGGCCAACTAAATGAGAATCTTTAACAAGACTTCAGATGATTCATAAGCACATTAAAATTTGAGAAGAATTGTTATAAACCACATAAAGAACTGGGACTTTTTATCCTATCCTGAAGGCAACAAAGAGCCTATTATGATAAATAAAATACCATTTAAAAGGCATATTAATTAACATCCAAAGGACATTTAACCTAAACAAATGCCTTTCAAGACAATATTACCATTACAGTCACAACTACATAATATTCAGCATCATTTTTACAAATAATTTAATGCTTATTTTGAATCTCTTATAGAAGTCAAAACTTCAAATCAAACATATTTTTCAAAGTATTTAATAACAAGAATCAACATATAATAGCTTCAGCTTATTGTTAATTTAAATTTCCTAAGATACTACCAGACCATTATTTTTCCAATGACACTTTCTTCTTTACTACTCATCCTCTATTTCCTTCTTAATTAATGAGAATTTATTTATTTTAGAAAAGCAAAGACAAAGCATTACTGTTTGGTTTACCTGACATTAAATGCCTTTTAAACAGTTTTTATTAATGCCTGATATATAATCTTGCAGTTAGCAGGCACTCAGACTTCAGCTGACTGATACGTAAAAGGGAAAATGTGGTGTGCTTCCCGCAATGAATGTCAGATTCTATACTACAGAAAAGATAGTACACTCGAACACTACATGATGACAATGTTTGCTGAGCATGACATGGGATTTGCAGTTTGCTATTAGGTTGCCAAGGTAACTTGTATCTAACAGACAATGAAGGATCCTACCTTTTAAAATAGGAATCAATTTGCAATTTAATGATGGATTTTCAAAAACAGATATAAATGACAGAGTTAGATACAAATTTAAACAGTAAAATTGTTTCCAATATGCTAAAGAGACCTATTTCTAGATGCAAAGGAATACACAAAAGCTTCTCTGGGAGTTTCAATATATCCATAAAGCTCTTCATAATTTTTAATATTTGCTTAATTAGTTATTTATAATTTAAAAACATCAGACTTAAAGAACAATACTACTTCTCCCTTATAGGAAAAAGAAGGGACAATGAAGACCATCAATAAAATAATAAGTTCAAGAAGAAAAATCAATAACTGTGAGTTCATTACAGCATGTAGATGCATAGAAAATTTGATAGAAATCAAATGCATTTTAACAGAATCCTAAATTTTAAAAAGTATCTAATAATTCATACTTCCCATTAATATCAAAGTAGGAACTAAGAATAGTGACAAGCATAACAGAATTATCAATAGAAAATGTTGGTTTTGTTTTTAAAAAAGGTAAATTACTGCTACTTCTGAATCTGCCCTGGACTGTGTTTACCTCATCCCCAATTCTGCTCTTCCCACCACAAGACATTTATTCTACATTAAACTCTCATTTTTAATGTTCTGAATTAAGTATACTCCTTGGAATATATCACAAAATCATGAGACTCACCAGATAAGAAATAATATTTATGTAAAAAAATTTGTAAGTCCATCCATCAAAGATTTCAGGATCAGCAAAAGCACAGTATTTCAGATAACAAAATTTGAACACTTGGATTTGTGTTTTGAAAATATCTCTGTGGCCTCAATGTACAGGACAGATGAAACAGTAAGAATAGTGGCAGAAGAGACCAGTTTCTAAATGATGAGGGGCTAGACAAAAGCAGTGGTAGTATCAGGGATGAAGGTAAAAAATGAAACCAAGAGATTTAAAGACTGGGTAAAATGGGTGAGCAGAATTAACATTTGTTGAATAACTATTACTTAGCTTCTGAGATGAACACTTTATTTGCTTTGATCCTCAACATTCTTATGAACTAAACATTGCCGTTATGTTAAAAAAGGGGAAAGTGAAGCTCAAGTGAACGTCTTGAACTTACGTAGCCACAACTAAGCTCTAACTTATAAAGGATTATAGAGCTATAACTTAGCAGAGCCCAGGATCCAAATCCAGGTTTGTCAAAACACATAGTCAAACCTCTTTAATGTCCACATTCCTACTGGCATAAACAACTGAGTTTAATTGACAGTTTAATTGTTCACAGGCAGGGGAAATTGTCTATTAATGTGTTCTTTATCTTCATCTTCCTGTTTATCCTTCCTTAAAACTACAAAAAAGATTTTATTATCATGTGTCCTTCTAATGGGACCATTAAAGTTAATCAAAACTGTGAGGTTGCTTTCTAAAATTTCATTTTGTGTTTCCTCTTCACACTCACGCCAAATGCCATTATAAGCAGACAGAGCAAGTTCAGAAAGGAGGGAGGAAAAAGTAAGTTTTGTTTGAAAACACTAAGTTTGAAATGCTCCTAGGACACTGAGATAGAGAGGCCAATAGGTAGTAAAATATACTCTGCAATAGAGGAGGATTTGGGAGTGGAACTAAGAAAGATGTATTTGGTGACCAAGGAAAGTACGTTGAGTGAGGAGAAATGTAACTTATTTAACTAGTGAATCAAAAATGCTAACATTAATATAAGTGACTAACCTTGACCCTCCGTCAGCTGGACACAAGTTTGTATATATATAACTGTGGCATTTAATTATGTCTTAAATATAATGCATGCTATTATGGTAAAATCTTGAGTCATTTATTAATTCTGAAAGTAAGCCAAGTACATCTTTGATTAATTTGCCTGTGGTCTAGAAATGATACTCGAGATTAAGGCAGGTTTTATCTGTAATTCTACAGACTAGGTACTCTGCCAAATATACTGAGCAAAATAAACCCTTAGGGAATAAAACTTGTTTTTCACTGTAACAACTTTAACACACCATTTGTACTTTTGCCAAGCTCAATACTAAATGTTTTATACTAATTGTAGATAGATAAATAAATATAGATGTCTAACTATGTAACTTTCTCTTTCTCTCTCTCTGTCTCCACATATTTAAGAATCCTGTTAGGTTCAGTCATTCCTCAGTATCCATGGGAGATTAGTTCCATGATGATACACTTCCACCCTCTGGGATACCCAAATCCACAGATGTTCAAGTCTCTTATATAAAGCGGCATAGTATTTGCATATAACCTACGCACCCATCATATACCTTAAGTCATTTCTATATTACTTATGATACCTCATACAAGGCAAATGCTATGTAAACCGTTGTTATATCATATTGTTTAGGGAATAATGACCCAAAAGTCTGTACATATTCAGTACAAATGCAACCATCCATTTTTTTTCCTTTGGAATATTTTCGATCCCTTGGTTAAGCAACACACTAACGGTCTCCAAACTTTTCTGTACTTGCACCCATTAAGGAAAAGAACTTTTGAATACACATTCTCATATAAAACCATTATTCTGTATACTTCATACAGTAATGGAAATGACATGAGGTAAATCTAAGTATAAAGTTCTAATATGCTCCCTCCCCACCCGTATACCCATGGAACTGACTGCAGGCCATTGCACATGCTATTGAACATTTTAAGACTACACAGCAGCCACCAAAGTCAGGGAATCTATAAAAGTCCAAAGTAGCTTGGCTTTAAAACACTGGCGTTTAGTCTATTCATGAAGCATACAGAGAGTAGTAAGAGCTCACATAACTATAACTTCTGTCTTCAGGTTTAAACATCCAATAGTTGCTGTTTACGAGAATTATCACAGTATTACCTCAAGCCCTATTGCTCCTACAGCCGTTCCCTACCCCGAAGTCCTGTTTTCTGTTTCTAAATTAGGGAAAAGAAATGCCATCAAAAAACCTTCAAACATCACGATTTAATTTTTCTAGATAACACAGTTTGCGTTTTCATGAAACTGGGATTTAACGACAAATCCAATTTGACTGATATTCGCACATACCCTTTAAACACTTAAGTTGCTTCCTGTGAGGTATCGTCAGATACGTGACAAGAGCCCACTTCCTGACCCCAACTTCACCCCAGACCCCGACCCCCTCAAGCTCCTTGCCAAAGCCCGAGGGCCGTCTGGGGACTGTAGCCAAGAGGGAGGGAGGGGCCCCGCGCAGACCGCCAAGTTTCCCGCGGCTGAGGAGACCTGAGCCGCCTGCGGAGAGCGCGCGAAGATCCCGCCAGCCGGCTCTAGGGACCTGCGTCTTCTGTCCGGGCCCGCCGGGGGGGGCCCCTGGACACCGCCGCAGCTCCGATGACCCGGCCGCTCCCCGGTGCGCTGGGGGTCGCCAGCCAAGGAGGCGCGGGCGGGGGATGAACCCCGGGGCAAGGGAAAGCAACAGCGCGCGCCTTCACCCTACCGCCAACAAGTCGTAATCTCCCAAAGGAACACGATCGGCGGGGCTGTCGTGGTGCGACCGGACGCTTAGGCCACCCTGAGGGCGTCTCGGCCTCGGCTGAGTGCCGCTGGCCCACCAGGAACCGCCCGCCCGCAACGGAAGGCAGGAGTCCGGCCGCCCGGGCGCCCACCGCGGGACAGTCCGCGCCTGCGCCCCGCCCTCCCTCCCCCGCGGGACTCCGCCCGCGCCTGCGCAGTTCGGGGATTTCGCACCACTGGAGTGTGAGAACGGGCCGGAAGTGCCCCTGGGCGGGCGGGGGAACTGGTAGGTGCTCGCCGGTCGGGGCGGCTGGATGCGGGTGAGGCGGGTGATTTGCCTAAGTGAAAGGGAAGACAACTGGGCGCCCCCAGCAACAGGTCTACGCATGCGTTCACCGAGCCGGCTGGAAGCCAGGAAGGGAAAACCGAGAGCGCGCCCCGGGGGAAAAGGGGACAGTCACTTCCCGGAAGGGGCGGGGCCTCACGGCCTGGGGCGCCGAATTCGAAAGTCTTCCAGGAGCTTATCAGGCCAGGCCGCTGAGCCCCAACGCTAGTCTTGCTTGGGAAAGAAAAGAGGACTTTTTTCAGAAAATTCAGAAACTTGGAGGCAGCAGTAGCTAGGATTCAGGCCAAACTGGTAAATGACGAAGGGGCTTCTTCCAAAACCTAGGAGGAAGTGTCCGGGTAAGTCCCGCGGGACGGTGAAGAGACAGCACCTCCGCGGAGGTCCTGCTGGTTCCTTTGACACACCAGGTGGGACGATCTTTGTGTTTGCCTCCCCTTCAAAGACACCGTCAGTGGCTGCCTTTGAATGAAGTAGAAGTCCGAAACTAGCTGCCGGGCGGCGATCTGGCCCCTGCTTCCCGAGCCTGGTCTCTCGCGCCGGCCCTGCGGGCTGCCTCCGCCTGGGGAGAATGCGTGTTGGCCGGCGGCGACGCGCTGGGCCTAGGCGGCTGGGTCCGGATTGTCCTTCCCCGGGGCGCACGATGGGGCTAACTCCCACGCCTCGTTAAGCCCATTCCGAGCGAGCACTTCCTGATCCCCATCGGCAAACTTGGTGTTCTCTTTTCCGTGTTAACATTGTATTTTGGTACTCTGTACCATGTTCATTTAAAGAAACCTGTACTTTGGTAATAGTTCTACTATGGTAATTAAGGTATTGTAGTTTATTTGCAGTCTTCCTTTCCCGTGTGCTAGCCTAGAATATAAACCTCAATAAATATAGAACTAATGAAGTTTAACTTTCTTGGCTTAGCTTTCAGTGCCCTTCTAAACCAGAAACTAACCTACCCCTTCAGTCTTTACACAACCCTTCGCATGAATATGCTGGATGTTGCCAAGTAACCTACTTTTTGTACTCCAAAATCTTCTCTTCTTGATGGGTAAAAAATGGCATTTACTTCCACCTCACTCCACCCCAAATAAATTGATGTTAAACCTCTGGCCTCCAGTAATGGAATTCCTTCCATTAAAGTCACCTGTTATTTCTAATAGTAACCAAGTATTAATATGTCAGTATATGATATTCCTATTGTGGCCGTAGCCGTGAATCAGTGAAAAATATGACAAAGTCAGAATAGACTAAGACATTTGTCCTACATGGTTCTTGTTGGTAACCAATGGGAAACACAGTTGGGAGGTCCCTACTTAGATGTCACTTCCTTCAGGAAGCCTTCCTTGATGCCCAAGACTTAGGCAGGACACCTTTTTTATATAATCCCATAGCTTGCTCTTCTTACCTCTGGACCTGTACTCATCACATGGTTATAATGCCCTTTTAATTGGCAATCTCACTTACCCTACTAAGATTCTTAATGCAGAGCTTGATCTTCCATCCTTGTAGCTCCAGCACCTTGAAACATTCCTGGTAAATAGTAGGCATTTAATAAGTGTTTATAGATAACAAGTTAAGCCTGGGTTATATTATGCCTCAAAGTTTAAGCTACATTCATATGAAAATAAAACCGAAAAAATAATTTTAAATAACAGCATTAATTAGTGAAATTATGTGTTAAATCCTATACAGTACAATCTTGCCCTGAAATAAAGTTTACACCATTTATCACCTTTTATATGAAAATATGCTCATCTTAACGGGAATTGGAAAATTTAAGTATTTCCTGCTTTATTGTCAATGTAGATTTTCTACTGTTTTTGCTTAAAGCTGAAATAAATTGGAAACTGTTGCTTTAATAAAATGTGTATTTTTACATAAATCAAGCCATGACCTCTTTTATGTTCTTTAAATTTGATTCATTAGTGGAATTAACAACGTTCTGTGTTTTTCTCACCTCATTCAGTTTTATAATTAACCAATAAAATCTTATTAGCTTTTAAGGAAGTTTTAGGAGCATAAATTGATTTATGGGCACCATATGGTTACATCAAAGGATTTGTTTTGTTTTAACTTGTAGTGGATTTTTAAGCCATTTCTTTAAGCTAGAAATTTATGTTCTTTCTACCAAGCAAAAATTTCTAAAATCGTGATTTCTTTTGTATTCCAAGCTGCCAAAATTGGTCATGAGATTCAAAGGATATTAGGATCTTGTAATTCATCTGGTTTATTTTAATACCTCTCATTTTGTAGAAAGGTTAAATGTCTCCCCAAGGCCATACAGCTGATGAGTTGTATATCCAAGACCAAAATCCTAGGCTTTCTATCCCAAGTCCAGTGCTCTTTTCACTAAATTAAAATAATTAAAACCACTCATAGGTTATAAAGTTGTTTGATATGTGTTCTGACATTGATTCACATAAGTAAGCTAAATAAATTGAAGCCGTTAATAGCTTATAAAGTTACTTGCTATGTGTTATTCTGAGTTTTTTGATTAACATAAGTATTCTTGTGTCACAAATACTTCTTAGAAATTGTGAGGATGTTAGGAGATGCTTCTTTTTATATGTGATATATATCGTTTGACCAGATTGACACGAATAAAATTATTACATTATAAAAGATTTGACTGGGGACTCAACAAATCCCACACTACAAATTTCAAATTTCACTTATTACAAAATAGAAAGCAAAACAAAATTATACATAGTTTTTGGTGGAAATAATATGTGTAGTGTTTTTAAATTTTATTTAATGCTGAGCTACATCCAAGTAACTATATCAGGTTATTTATTACCTCATTCAAGAATCATCTGTTTTATCTTTCAGTGTAGTCATACTTTAATATCTTTAAAGCTGTTGCATTCTGTCCTTTTTTGGAATTTTATATGCTTTTACAGTCTTAACTACTTAACTGCTGCTTTATATCACTTCAGAGGAACTGCTGGTGCAAAGAAAATGTGACAAGGAATAGAAAACAATATAGAAATTTTGGATTAACTGCATTCTTAAAATATGGAACTCTTTTTAATAAAACATACATTTCAGTTAAGTTTCCTCTTTCAGAATTATTGAAGTATTCTTTTAATGTTCTGCTTTTATGAGTGTTCTGCAGAACAAGCATGTATTTTTAACCTTAAACAACTTAGGTTGTAGATCTATTGAAGATAATGCTTAAATAGTATTTTAAAAGAATATATTACATTTGGAAGACATATAATTTTACATTAACATTTTTTGCATTTTGCAACTGTTTATAAGATACATGGGGACTGTAGGTTAAGGTTCCAAAGTGTTGTAAAAGGCTTTGAGATAGATAAAAGAATATGGTGACCAGAAGGACTGGTAATAAAAGACATTTTTCTAGAAAATGTCACATAACTAAGGGAAAGTGGAGAAGAGGATACTTTAGCACAGAGTAAAAGTCAAGTTTTACTTTCTGGGAAATAACAAATAATTCTGTTACAGACTTTTTTTTTTTTTTGCCTATGTGATTTATATCAGCTGTGTTTAAATAGCCATTATTATAGCTTTATAGTCCTTACATTTTTAAAATATAGCCCAAATAGATGTCCTAGGTATATGTCTCAGGTAGACATTGTTCAGCTGCTGTAATTATTTTATAACATAACCATGGTTAGTCATTCTTTAAACCAGGTTTATTTCTGACAAAAACTAATGTGAAAAATGAAGTTTTATATGTAATAATCATATTAAAGATATTATTTATGGGTTTAGTTAAAAGCTTTCTTTATCTTGCTGAAGGGATCCAATAATAGAATCAGTTCAGAACTTATTTTTTTTTCCAGGAATGGCTACCACTAGTGAAAAATATATTCCATTAGAGTCTTTACAGAATGATCCTAATATACTTGAAATATTTTGAGAACTGCAGTTTGTAATATCAAGAATCTACCTCATCAGTATTTCTCTAATTTCTTTTTACCACAACCCTCAAAAGGAATACAATTTCTATCATTGTTCTATATAAAATGTACGTTTATGTGTGCCATCTTAAACAACATTGCACTAGGTGGCAATCGTCATTACTATTTATATATGCATAATCAACTTATGTAATGAAACACTGGAGACATGGTAGAAATGACTGAACCTTTGAACTGGAAGGACCAGGGAAAAGATGTGCCTTGCCCAAGTTCACACAACTAGTTCCTAGCCATTAGGCAATCTGAAGGAAACCAGAAAATGTGAATCTCTTTTCCCTCAAAAGGTCATATTGAAGTAGTATTTAATATTTAAGTACTCAAAATTTTGTAGAATATTGCTTTTTAATTTGACCCATGAATTATATGCAAATTTGTCACTTATTTAAGAAGCAAACCATTTAAAGATTTCTAGTTCATTTCCTTAACTCCTTATAGATAAGGTCACATTTTTTAAACTTTTTTTTAATTTGAAAAGTAATACATACATATGGTTATTAACAAAATATAACAACCCATTTTGAAGAGTAATTCTTGCCATCCCTGAACTGCAATCATCACTAATATCTATTTCATACTTGTTTTCATTTTCAAATGTGGAGACTTTTATTAGTACATACAGGTCTAGTTTTTTGTGTGTGTGTGTGTGTGTGTGTGTTTTGAGACGGAGTCTCATTGTGTTGCCTGGGCTAGAGTGCCATAGCGTCATTCTAGCTCACAGCAACCTCAAACTCCTGAGCTCAAGTGATCCCCTTGCCTCAGCCTCCCGAGTAGCTGGGACTACAGGCATGCGCCACCATGCCCGGCTAATTTTTTCTATATATTTTTAGTTGTCCAATTAATTTCTTTCTAATTTTAGTAGAGACGGGGTCTCGCTCTTGCTCAGGCTGGTTTCGAGCTCCTGAGCTCAAACAATCCACCCACCTCGGCCTCCCAGAGAGCTAGCCCGGCCACAGGTCTAGTTTTTATTTGCTATGTCATCTAATCCATTGTTTGAACATACCATAATTTACTTAATTTCTCTTCTACTGATGGAGATTTGGTTCTTCTCAGTGTCTTACTATTACAAGCAGTGCTACAGTGAATATTGTGTATAAATCTGTACACACCTAATAGCGTATCTTAAATTCCTAGAAGTATTGCCAAATAAAAAGATAACCTGCATTTCAGGTTTTGACCTCTAGAGTTGCAGTAACATTTAAATGAAATAAGATCAGTTATGATAACTCCAGAGAGAGGAATTGCATAATTTTCTTCAACAGCAGTCTGTTTCAGGATCCAACGTGAGCCACAAAAGGAAAGCAAAAGTATCAACAAGAACTTGCCCCTCAAACTTTATTTCTGAGTTTTACATGTTCTTATGGTTAATACCTTAAAAGTGGCATTTCCCTTCATAATAATGCATTAGAAAATATGTGCATCTATACTTTCTTTGCAGAATTAACCACAGCTTTTCACATTAATTCTGCATCTATAGGACAATGCTACACTCAAGCAATGGGGCTTTCTTATGTGAAATAGACAATATTAGCACTGGGCCACCATTAACTACAGAATGCTTTCTTTCTCATAGTTTAAATCTGTATAGTTTTCTTTGTACCGTGGCATCCGCAGGTATTTGTGCACTTCATGAAAATGAGTGTGTAGAATAATACTTACTGGGGGCACTAACCACATTATAAAATTAAGATTCAGAAAAACACTGAGAAAATGACAGCAACACTTCCAGCATTTATTTTCTTTGCACCCATATGCAATTTGAGAAAATTTACTTTTAGAATGGACTCTTTAAAGAAACAGACAATAATATAGTACTTTTTATTCAAAAGGTTTCTGCATAAAGGTGATAACCTTTTGACTTATATTCTTGTCTCCTTCCTTCTGTTTTTGGAATGAATTAAAGTCATTCAGAAGATAATCTGGCTGGGCGCAGTGGCTCACGCCTGTAATCCTAGCTTTCTGGGAGGATACCTGCAGCTCAGGGGTTCAACACCAGCCTGAGCACAGTGAGACCCTGTCTCTAGAAACAAGAAACAAAAAAAAAGACAAAAAAAAAAATACACAAAACCAGAGGATAATAATCTGGACTGTGTGTGTATAGTCAGACTGAATCTTCATTGCAAATGCTATATAATATCTTTATCAAAGGAACAGAAAAGCAGATACAGATGTTTAATGAGGAAAAGCTGGCCTATAGAAAACAGCAAAGTATGTTAATAGTAGCAGAGTTGAAGCCAATTTTGTTTTTATAATGTCATGTACGCAGAAAAAATTTTAACATTAGTTTTCTTCGAATAGTGGAACTATACGTGATTTTAAAAAGTTTTTTCTTTACGTTTTTATTTTTCCACAGTGAACATGTATGACCCTGTAATTTAAAAAGCCAATGCTCTTTTTAAAAAGATAATTCCATATTCCTCCATTTTCTGTCCCTTATTTCTTCTTCCCTCACTTCTCTATCAACATTTTCCTTCATTAACCCCCTTGTTTCTTTAGTTTATTTGCTTGTTTGCATGCTTCCTTGCTTTTGCTTTTTGTTTTTCCTGATTATCATAGAGAACTATTCCTATTCTCTCTTTAGGTCTTTAAATCAAGGAATGAATTCTCAAGTAGACAAAAATGATTTAAAGCATCCTTGTGGCCGGGCGCGGTGGCTCACGCCTGTAATCCTAGCACTTTGGAAGGCCGAGGCGGGCGGATTGTTTGAGCTCAGGAGTTCGAGACCAGCCTGAGCAAGAGCGAGACCCCATCTCTACTAAAAATAGAAAGAAATTAATCGGACAACTAAAAATATATAGAAAAAATTAGCCGGGCATGGTGGCGCATGCCTGTAGTCCCAGCTACTTGGGAGGCTGAGGCAGTAGGATCGCTTGAGCCCAGGAGTTTGAGGTTGCTGTGAGCTAGGATGACGCTACGGCACTCTAGCCCAGGCAACACAGTGAGACCCTGTCTCAAAAAAAATAAATAAATAAAACAAAAATAAAGCATCCTTGTATTTTCTACCCATCTCTGCATTTGTTAGCTGTTGTTATTAGATGAAACAAAGCAAGTTTACCACCATTCTTAATATTTCAGACATTCTTGATTCATTTTGAAAAGCTGACTAATGAAAGAAATGAGAATCCTCTATTTATGAATTGTCCTGAACTGGCTCATAATATATTGTTTGAATTCCTGTTCTGAGCTTCTGTTTCTTTTAACAGTATTTTGTAAAGTGTGACAGCAGATAATCACACCAGAATGGGAGTGAATGACTTGTGGCAAATTCTGGAGCCTGTTAAGCAACACATCCACTTGCATGATCTCAGCGGGAAAACCATTGCAGTTGATCTCAGTCTCTGGGTGTGTGAGGCACAGACAGTCAAAAAAATGATTGGAACTGTCATGAAGCCCCACCTCAGGTAGAGTAAAACTTCTTGGAGTAGAAATGTGTGATTGTATAAGTTAAGCAGTCTTGGTGTCTTGGTTTTGTTTCAATTTTTTTTCTTTTTTGTTGTTATTCTCTTACAATTTGAGATTTTCAAATATGTAACATGTCAAGCAAGATCTACCATCTTTGTATTGACATTTCGCAGATTTGTACCTCTTCCCGTTTGAGCTCCAGACTCACATATCTATCTCCTGCTTCACGTATCCACCAGGATGCGTCAGTTACTAAAAGCCAGAAACTGGGGAGACGTTGTCTCTCCCCTGCATCTAGTCCATCAGTAAGTCTTGCCAATTCTACTTCCAAAATAGACTCTGTGTTCACAAACTTCTCTCCGTGTTCAGAGGCACCACCTCAGTATATGCCAACCTCGTCTGTCATCTGTACTGCTGGAATGCCACCTTCCCTAGTTTCCCTCCCTCTGCTCTTGGCCTCCTCCTCCAAACCATTTTCCACGTAGCAATCAGAATAGTCAGAAATCTCTCTTGCTTAAAAATATTCAGTGGTTTTCCACTCCACTTAAAATCTTAATAAGTGAAATGTTATTGCATATAACATTTTGGATATGAGTCTAATGTTCTTGCCTTTATGTCATATTGCTATTTTGACTTTTGCTATCAGTATATGATGATTAATATATTACTAATTTATATATTTCAGGAACTTATTTTTTCGTATCTCATATTTAATGCAAATGGATGTAAAACTGATTTTTGTTATGGAAGGGGAGCCACCAAAGCTGAAAGCTGATGTCATAAACAAGAGGAATCAGATTCGGTATGGGCCTTCTGGAAAAACATGGTCTCAAAAAACAGGGAGATCACATTTTAAATCAGTCTTAAGAGAGGTGAGCATTCAGATTTGATTTAATGATTCTGATTTGAATTAAAGAGTACATTTTACTCTAACAAGTTTGTTATTTGTCATCTTTAATACTCAGTAACCTTATTGTGACCAGAAGTCCAATGTGGATAGAGAGAAGAGTTTACGTTTTAGAGTGAAACTGGCATGAATTCAAGTCCTAACACAAACATTTAGAGTCGTAACTTGTAATGGTTATGCAACGTGTTCAAAGCTATCAATCATTACCCCAACTGTATACATCATTTGCTTTTTTAGTGTTTCTGTATTATACATGAAACTATGATGAACTTTTTTGTGTGTAAATAACTTTTTCTTGTGATTTAAGGTTTTAGATAAAATTATCCAAAGTTAGATTGATAGAGCAAAGTTTTGGAATGATTTTATAGCTCTTGCTAATTACTTTCTACTACAGATGTGAGATAAGCAATTTTGGTACACCCACAAGAACACTGGATGTTAGGAGATTTATCTTTGTACTATTTAGTGTGCAGCAACGAAGATATTTCATTTAATATGTATTTGACCTTTAATGGTGAGCTTAAACATTTCACCTATTTTTAGTTCCTCTTTAGGTAATGACCATCATGTCCTTTACCTACTTATCTCTTGAGGTTTTAATTTTTCTTTCCTGCAAGTTCTTTTATTTAAGGATAAAAACCTTTTATCACATTTGCTCTGAGTTCATTTCCCTGTTTTTCTTTTTAATGTTAGTTAAAAATTACATTTCTTTTAGAAAGCACTGCATACGTTGTCATTTTTCTCCTCTTCTGAAATTTTTCCTATTTTCCATCCTTACGGGATTTTTTAAAATAGTTTTCAATTAGTGAATATTCCACTTTAATGACTATCAGTAGCTGAAGAAAATATCTGTACCGATTCTAATTATTTCTTATATAATCAGTTCCTGGAAATATCCATGGTCCTCAAACTTAAGATACTAAATGAAAAAGGATGTATAAAACAAAAAGCAATGTCCATCTCTTCTTAAGAAAATTCCTCCTTTCCTATTTCTTTATTGCAGTAATTATGGTGTTCTTAGGCATTTTGTGTCAGTTCAGGATTTCCTATCTATTATACATTTTCATATTTCTGTATTCTCAGTAGGCCATACCACCTCCTAAGCCACTGCCATCTTTTAGATATAATGATGAAACGCAAAGATTAGTCCTCCAATGCTACCTCCAACCTCCATCCCAGACATAGGGGAGGAAAAATTGCAACCAGTCTCATAGCAAATTCTGAGCTTATTCTTTGAAAAAAGTTGTAATGACAAATAGTGCAAGAAACTAAAATAACTTTATTGTGAAAGTATACCTCTTATCTAGGGGTAAGGTAAAAGCAACACTTGTAACAAAACTATCTCCCTAATTCACCTGGCCAAAGTCCTGAGGAGTAATTTCTTTCAACATAGTACTTTGTCTTTTTGAACTTTGTCCACCTTGGGCAACATCTGGCAGAGGTTTTTATTATGTAATATAGCATGTAAGCAGTTAGTCAAAACAAGAGATGATATTTACTCTATCAATCTAAAGAAACTACAAGTAAATAGCCTTTATTCCCCTGCCATACTCAGTATTCCCAATACAAAGAGAATTCATATTCCCAATACAGAGAGAATCCATACAGAGAATGAGCTAGATTGTAAGGCTAAACCACAAGCTACTTAACTGATTTAAAATCATAACCAAAAAAAAAAACACATAGCAGATTCTTTGTGCATCAGCAAAATGATATAATCATCCTGCACAGACAGTTGGTTTCCTAGGAGGATACCAACAACTGACCCCTGTGTGATTTCCCACAATATGAGAATTTCATTCTATAGGGAAGGCAAAATGAGAAAAAGAAGAAAACTTTAAGGCCTCAAGCCCAAATTGTGTAATAGCATCTTTTTTGGAAGCACTCATATTGGGCTATCATATGAGAAAAATTATTGTAGCTCTATGGCTATAAATCTTAATGTGATTATTATTTAAGGATATTTCCAAAATCTGAATACCATTAAACAAAACAATGAAAAGCAAATATGGATTATTCTGTAGTTGACATTAAAAATCTAACTTTTTATTACAGAAAATTTTAAATGAATACAAAAGTAACCGACCATCAGTCTTAAACAGTTATCGACTCTTGGCTCATCTTGTTTCATCTACACCCTTACTCACTTCCCTACTCCCATATTATTTTGAAGCAAATCCCAGCCATAATTGTATCACTTTCAATATTTCGGTACCATTCTCTAAAGGATGACTCTTAAAAAATAAAAAGAAACATAACCATGGTGTAATTTTTATCACACCTAAAAGTTCAGCAGTCATTCTTTAATGCTATCAAGTATTCCATCAGTGTTCAAATTTCAAGCGTTTCTTCAATATCATAATTTTTAAAACACCTAAATAATTACTATTAATATGCGTAATATAGAAGTAAGTTAAACACTGAAATTAGCAGTAAAAACATTGTTTAACTTCTTGCACCTACTTTTTGTTTGCAGTGCCTTGATATGCTAGAATGCTTAGGAATCCCCTGGGTTCAAGCTGCTGGGGAAGCTGAAGCCATGTGTGCTTACCTCAATGCTGGTGGTCACGTAGATGGCTGCCTCACCAATGATGGAGATGCCTTCCTTTATGGGGCCCAGACTGTTTACAGGAATTTCACTATGAATACAAAGGTATTTTTTTCTTTTTCAGCATTTGTTTACAAAATGTTTACCTTTTTAAAAAGGGCTGATTAAACAAAATAGTACATGTAAAATACTGTAATGCCTGGCACATAGCAATTACTAAACAAAATGTTTACTGTTATTAAAAAATCATCGTACATAGTTCATTCTCTTTGAAGTGTGGATTTATGTCCTGAGAACTTGACTTGTTTGTCTCACATGGTTTAATTGTAAGTCAGTTTCAATAATACATCACAAAATTGCATATGAAATGTATTGCTTTGGCCCGGAATCTCTAGTTTGGTGTGACCGTGATGTGATGTGATGTGACAAAGGTAGCTCTTGGCCTCCTGCTCCCACACTTCTTTGCCTATAAAACTTGCTAGCAGCAGTTGGAGCTGCCTGAGGAGGAGGCAGGGCAGGAAGGGTGAGGGCTTGCCTCTGATTTGCCCTGTCCTTTGCAGAAAGGGGGTGGGCACCTTTCTCAGCTTGTTCTATTCCCCACCCACACCCCCAGCCAGGGTTGGAAATGAAGGACTTTTTTAACCTTTTTTGTTTTTTAAAAATAAATCTTCAAAATCCAAAAAAAAAAAAATATGGGACTACTATATAGTCCCATAATTATGTTCCTACTGATCATCTCTGTATCTTTACAAATCCTTCATTTTACCTCTGTTCCCAAGAGAAGTATAACAGAGAATGGCATATAATTTTTTTAGTATTCAGTTTTAGTACTTCATTCTCAAAAACATCTCCAAATATGCAAGGAGAGATATACAAAGATGTTCCTCGTAGCATTGTTAATCATTACAGAAATCTGGCAAACAATCCAAATGCTCATTCATAGGGAAATGGTTAAATACTTTATAGTCCAGGTTCTCAGGCAGGAGGTACCGCCAGGAGACATTTTGGTCATAACAATTCAGGGTTGGGCAAGGGAGACTATAGACTTTTGATGGATTGCGTCCAAGCAAGCTAAACCTCCTGCAAATTGTGTTCTCTCTCCCAAAATGCTAATAGTGCCCCCACTGAGGAACATTGCCCCAGGGTCCATATGATGTAATACTAAGCAGTCATTAAAAAGCATATGTATTATTGACATAAAAGATATCCAGACATATTGGTGGGGAAAAATGTTGCAAGAGAGTATGTTTATGTAGCCCTACTTTTACTTAAAAATAAGTCAATAATAAATATTAGTATGTAAGTGTCAAGGAAATGAATTTTTTAGAAGAATATGTACTGAGCTATTGATGATAATTAACTTTAGGCAATAACAATTACAGAGAATGTTTACTGCATATAATATATTTTACAATGTTTAATTCTGTACGATGGAAATGTACTCTTTTTTTAGACACCAAAAAGTGATAAATGGAACAAGTTGATGACTATAGTTAATTTTTTAAGCCACTTTTAAAACTAGGACTTTATTTCCATATATTGAAGTATCAGATTTTATGAAGATTCTGGTGATCAGGATAATTTTCCTATTTAAATTTTTGTGAAT